TCTAAATCAGCATTTTTCACCCATATCAAAGACAACCACCATCACAGAATAGCTTCTTCAACCTCCAATAACTTTTCCCTACCAACGACAATGATAGAAAATGGTAGGAGAATGAGGGAAATGATGGTGACTTGGACCCTGTGTGACCCACTGTTTAACATGATTTATTCCTTATTTTTTTGACCAAACTAAGCCACCTAAAGGCCAAATCAAAGCTCATGCAAGTATCATGGGTTGTTCTCCATTGATTCCAACCCTCAAAATTGTCTATTATTGTCAAAATTCAAGAAAATAGTTTGAAAAGAAAAAAACATGTACTACTTGATTAACAAACCATAATTTTTTATCTAACTATTTGATTAAGTAAATCATATTAATCTAGAAAATTTATTTAGAGATCCTCATCATGGTTGATCCCGTATTATCTTCGAAAGTCTTTTCGAAGTCAAAATCCATTTTGAATATCCAATTTTAGACCCTCTTGTAATCCAAACATGTAGTTCAACTCACGTTTGCTCCAATTAGAGTTATAATATTCTATGTTTTATTTATTTTCCTAATTTTTGTATTTCTATGATTAATTTAAGAAATTTAGTTTATTTTATTTATAATTTAGTTTTTGATTAATTAGGACATATGATATGTCGTTTGTTGGTATTTAGCCACCATTATCGTATTATTTAAAAATATTCATACTTGTGAATTTTTCATAGTTTTCTATTTTTTAGGGTTTTTTTTAATTATTAATAAACTCTATTATTCACTGCTATCTATTGCATCCTATTTTATTTAAAATAATCAAATTCAATTATGTATATATATAAAAAAAAACTAAAATAATATAATTAAATATACCATCACCAAACCATGTGAAAATTTAATATATATATATATATATATATATATATATATATATATATTAGTAAAATAACTAAAAAAAATATTTAAAGCAACTAATATTTAAGACTTTACACAAGTTCTTAGATCCTCTTGATTGGTTGGTTTGTTGAATCACCTTATTTAGACTGGATCAACCATGCTCTTAGCACCAGTAGATGGTTAGTCTAGTGGTATATTTTAATTTATTTTCAAATAACAAGATCATTCTCAAATCTTTACTTTGATTTTTGAGTTACGATTTGAATCAAGTAGTAAGGACCGACCAACTTAAACAAAAAGTAACTGGAATCGAGTAGTTTCAAATATCAATAGCTTCTTGTGTACCCACATACATAAAAATCATAACAAGTGATTTGAGTGGTTAAATACTTAAAAATGCTCGTGTTATCTCGCCCAATATGAATTAAAAAACATAAAAATTGAAGAGGCATGCAATTTTGACAAACTTTGTGAGCTTTTTGGCCACGGCAGCGTTATTGGTTGATGGGAAAACTCTAGTTGTTTGAGGTCAAGTCGTGAGCAAGGGTCCATTCTAGTGGCAACAAATGCTCGCCGAAGCCTACAGCATTAGGGTTATGGGGGTGGTTAGGCCCACTTCGTGAAACGGGCACTTCTTGCTTTATATCCCCTTCTTTCTCCCAGTCGATCCCCATTGCATTTGTGGGCATCTGTTTTGTTTTTCTGCCATTTCTGATTCTCATATGATATCAGGCACGCGTGCATGAAATATTTGAAGTGCTTCATGAATCAAGTTTCCATTAGCAGACAGGCAGTCCAGTGGCATATTTCCATACCTCCAGTTAAGTGTTTGAAATTTAATCCTATTTAGCATGAATTAGATTTTATGAAAAAATAATTAAATTAAACACATACAGCAATTAAAAAAATAAAATAATCACAAAAGCATAACTATAAAAACATTATATTTTTTTGGAATTTTTTTTTAAGTATAGAGGAAAAAAACATGTGACCAATTCTGAAATAATCTATTATAATAATGAAAATAATAAAATCACTCAAGTTTCTCCTTAAATCTAAAAAAAAAAAATTATAATAATACAAGTTATTTATCCAATTAACTCTGTCGGCAAAAACAATTTGCAGAACAAAACAAATTGGAAACTGTTTGAAAAAAAGGAAAGTACAACTTTTCTTTTTATACCTGTGACATGTAGCAGAACAAAACAAATAGGAAAACAAAAAAAATTATGTCGGCAGAACCAAAACCAAAATAGAAAAGTCAAATCAAACTTTTGCATTTTTTTTTTTTTACATCACCATGCACACTACACACTCAGAGTTTGCCCTTTAATTATCTTTTGTTTTCAATTTAATTCTTTTCTTATTTAATCTTCTTCTTTTTTTCTACTTAGTTTTTAATGAGTTGTGTTAAAGGTCATTCATGGGCTAGCCCTATAGCATTCACCCAACAGATCTCATCTTCCAGTTTATAAGGAGAAAATTATAATTCATCGTACAGGATTCTTCCTAGTCAAATAGACATGCAATCAATTTTGTTGACATATTAATATGATGTATATTTAAGAGAATCGTTCTCAACATCACCAGCTATTTGTATATTACCTCACAAAAGCAATCACATCATTAATCAATAAATTTTGATTTGTGAACTTTATCGTAAGTCAAAATATTACGAAAACTATTTAGTTTTTCATTCATTCATCAATAAAATTATTATTGAAATCATAATTCTTGGTAAAAAAATGACACCGATCAATAGATCTACTCACTCGATACTTTAAATTCTAAAATGGAGGATCCTACTCCTCTTGCTCTACACTCTTCGTGTCTCGTACACCATCATTATCAATTATTTGTTTAATATCAATTCCATGTTCTTCATTTCATACTTCACCACATGTGGCAATCTCTTTAGCAAAAGCAATACAACACTTTTGTGTCAATCTTTTTTTATTCACTTGAGCATGTCATCTACACTACTCGTTTTGGAGAAGTTATATATTTGATTACACTCTTCTTAGGTATGATCAATTATACTATTTTTTTTAATACAATTTATCACAAATGATATCTCTAGCAACAATCATTGATACCTTGATGAGTTTCTATTTTCTCGCTAACAAAATAATTATAGTATACGACAATATCCAAGAAACAAGTAGAAATAAAATCTTGTATAAATCTAGAACATGCAACACATATTTCAAAATCAATGTACGATATGTACATAGTTTTATACACACATTACCAACTCTTAGAACACTAGTATAACCATCATTGTCTATCTTTAATATATTAAAGTCTCTATACTTCATATTCATCAAAGAATTCCTTCCTAAAAATAAAATGATATGTAGCCACTTAGTCAACAATCCATTTAATACAAGATTCTATAACATTATACTTATCCTCTCTATATGATCGTCACATCTTAATTTCTCTTGACGTGATCTTCTCTTCCAAGATGACATCATTTAAAACTCGTCGTAATATGCTTCTTGATTTACTATACCTACTAAATTCGATATTCTTACTCCTATTTTTTTGTGACAAGAGCTTGTGCTTCATTCGTTATCACTTTTCTTTGTCTTGTTTTTTCATCGAACAAACTACCTTTAACTATGGATATCAATAAAACACTATTCATAGAAAATCACCAAGTGTCATGACTAAAGTTTTCCAATTACCCGACAAAGTTCTCAATAGCAATAATGCTTGTAACTCATCATTTAACACTCACTCGTTTGATAGACTTTCTATACTTCTTTTTCCAAGCATCATCATTCTTAGCGGTTGATTTTGTTTTACCTAATTCAATCGGATCAAACAAGTCAAAGTAATAAAGTAAATTATCGATTTTCAAATTGAATAGTTCAAAATTGTCGATCGATCATGATTTCTAAATTATTTTTCTCCATCTAATTTACATAAATATTTCAACCAAAGATCTGATCCTAATGTTGAGAATTTAAACTCACTCTATTTAAATTAGATTTTATGAGAAAATAATCAAAACAAACACACATCAATTAAGAGAATAAAATAAAACAATTACAATAATACAATTGTAAGAATACCAAATTTATGAAGAAAACTCTTTCTATCATAGAGAAAAAAAAAGTCACGAAACCAATTCAGAAACAATCCAATATCACAAAGAAAGTAATAAAATTACTCAAGTTTTTCTAGCTAAGTCCATCTCATTGAAAAATTTTAAAATTTGCAAAATATTTATATTTTTGCAAAGTATAATACTGTGTGAGATTACTATTTTGAGCACTAAAATTATTTGTAGTTGTAATCTTCACAGATCAATGCTAGAGAAAGCTTAGATATTTTGTGCACTAAAATCTCTTATTTTTTATTTATTTTTTTTTCTTCAATTGATTTCTTTGGCAACTGTGTGTAACAAAAGAAATTCCAACTTTCTTCTTACATTTGCTGTAGAACAAAACAAATAGATAAAATAAAAAAGAAAAGCATATGTCGACAAAAACAAAATAAAAACAGGAAAATCAAATCAACATTTAGCTTTTCTTTTTTCATCACGCACGCATCACACACTAACGGTTGCCCTTTAATTTCTTTTCCTTTTCAATTTAGTCATTTTTCTATTTAATTCTCGTCATAATTAATCATTTTTAAACTATGGTTTATCCCCACATCAAAATTAATAACACAAATTTCTTTTATTTTTTATTTTTAGTTAGAAGTAAGAGTTTTGAATCTCAAAGTTTTTAAGAGAAGTAAGGAGGACGTAGAAAGAGCAAGAGTGTTGGAGCCCGTAAAAAAAAAAGGAGGAACACTACCAACTGATATTTGGTGGACTATTAATGACCTAAAATTGTGGGCTTTATTGACCAGGAAAAGAGTTTCAAAAGAAATGGACCACTTATATGGGCTTTACCCAAGTTACTAATGAATAAAACAAGCCTTGGGCTCCGAACCAGGCCTTAAATAAAGAACCCGTTAAAACTTTTGTTTGATTGCCAAATGAAGAAGAAAACCGATAATGCCACCAGAGAGCCACTGACAGATAGCCTTGAGAAGAGAGGATAACGAAGGAAAGTGCGGTTAGAAAGACACAGCGGAAAAAACAGAACGAGAGGGCCAAAAACATGGCAACTTCAATATCAATGATATCACCACCACCGTGGATGGTGTCAAGTAGAACAAGAAGCAATGGCAGCCCATCAGCTTCACTCTCTCTTATCACTGGTTCAAGAACGAGAAGCAATTTTTCAATGAATGTCACCACCAACTCCAATACTCGCTGCGGGCTGCTTCACTGTTCCTTTCTCTCCTCCTCTTCTCTCTCTTTACCTTCTTCCTTCTCAGGTAAAATCTTGGGCTCATGAGTTTTTCTAATTTCTCCTTAAAATGGTGGTTTTTTTTTTTTAATCGATGTAAGGGACTGATTCACTTATGGGTATGTTTGTTTTGTTGATCTTTTGTACTTGGATTGAAGTAATTGAAATGCACATCGAAAATGCTAAGGAATTTCTTTAGTAAGTAATGAAAAGATAATTTCTTATGATTCTATTGGTGGAAAGAATCAATGAACGCAAATTCTTAGGTTTGAGTTGAGGTATCTTACAAAATAGTAATGCAGCAATGTAAGATAGTTGATAAATGCATCTAGGAATCTGGAAGTTATTGTTTCCTTTCGCTATAATTTCGTTCCTTTTTTGTTGTCGTTGTTTGTGATTTTTCCGCTTCAATTTATGATAACATTGACAGACAGACATTGTTGCATCTTAAATATTTTTCTAACTTTTGAATTAAGATGGATGAATTTTCTTTTAGCAGCATTCTTCTTCAATAACAATCATATATTTATCTCTCTCGAAGAGATAACTTCACTTTTTGCTAGATGTTAGGTGTGTTTAAGAGTTGGATGGTTAAATCTGCGTTAAATTCTATGTTCTATAGTTCTAGAGACTTAAGAGTGGTGATGTTCTTTCACCGTCACAAGAGCTTTTAATCACTCATGTTTTATGCTTTTAAAACCCGTAAGCATTCAAGTGGAAAAACTTCAGAGGAACTTTTAGTGATTTAGCTTAATGTAACCCCTTCATTGCAGGTTTATCTTTGGGATTGGATTTGAATTCTAACATTGGAGCGAGAAAGGATATAGGTCGTGGTCTAGTGGTGAGAGCTGGGAAGCCTGCACTTTGTCAAACCAAAAGAAACAGGTCTAAAAAGTCTCTGGCACGGACTCATGGCTTCCGTAGAAGAATGAGAACCACTAGTGGAAGGGCAGTGTTGAAACGTCGACGTGCCAAGGGAAGGAAGGTCCTTTGCACCAAGTCCAATCCCAATAGTGGGAAAGCTGCTTGATCTTTATTTCAGTTTCTAGGGATCTGGTTCATATTTGGTTATGCCTCATTGTTTTTGCTTACTTCATCACATTTGAAGCTTTTGTTTAACGACCATTTTAATTCTTAAAAGTAGAAAAGCCTTTGCTATCGGATCCTGTTCTCTATGATGATTTGTTTTATGTTGCTCCTGTTTTCTGTTTAAGCTGTTCACCTTTGTTTTTACTGGCCGTTGAAAAACCCTATGTAATTCCCCAATACAGATGAGGGGGTCAAATCATGTCCGATAAATGCCTCCAGGATCAGCTACTTGTGATTGAGAAATTTTCTCAATTTTATAGCTCATCTGCCTTTCAGTTGTTGATTGGGAGGATCTCCTACCTGTTATGGTGTTACATTCTATAGGTTTCTCACATATCGAGATCTTGCATAATCCGAATTTTTGTAATTGATACCTAAGTTTTTTTTTTTTTTTTTTTAAATCTAATTTAAGAGTTTTACTTTTATATTATTATTGTTTTAGATCCTAATGTGCCACGTAAGTACATGATGTAAGCTTTAACCAATAACAACTTGTCTTGTGTCATAGTGGGTTCAAATTAGGTGATTGAATTGATGACGTGGTAAGTTGTTATTGATTAAAATTTGTCATATGGTTTTACATGACAAATTATTATTGGCTAGGATCTGAAACAATAACAACATAAGAATAGAACTCTTAAATTGGACAAAAAAAAGTTGTATGGTCTCAATTAAAAAAAAAAAAAAATCCAAATTGTACATAGTCTCGATATGCATAAAACCCATATTTTTATCTACCTGAAACTCTGAGCCAGTTGAGTTTTTAATTTTATCATCTTGCTGCAATCACTTGGGATTTCCATGAATGCCCTGTTATTGTGTAGCTATATTCAGATGAGTGAAAGGCAAATTTAAATGCCATGCTATTTATGATCTCATTAAATTGATTATGATAGTCTGATGGCCGAAGAATGGCAATGTCAAACATTGTTTATTTGATTTCTGAGAATAAAAAATAATGATCATGGGATTGATTCTATGGTGCTAAAGTTGTTTTTATTTAAAAGATCATAACGCACTCACTCACCTGTATTTCAATTGAAAAGGGGAGCTAGAAATGAATAGAACAGTGCTTTTAAGTATCATCGAAGCTTATTTTAGTAGCACATAGTGCTCCTCAGACAACAACTGCAACATAATATATGCTCAAGGAGCTAGAAATTACCCATTAGGAATATGTATGCGACTGTTGCTAGTGAAGGGAAAGGTCTGATGAAGATTGATTCATCATTGCCCTAATCTGCAGTTTGATAAGAGGGACGAATGGCAATGCCACAAAGACCTTTCTGAGCATTAATATTTCTTGCCATTCCAATGTATCCATCGTCAAAGCCGTTGTTTTCACAATCTAGCTCCTTCAGGGGTGACAAAATGGCATCATAATGCTAACGAAAATCAAAGTGTCGTTTGGCCAATAAAGTCCATTTTGGCTTTTCGTTTTTTTCACACTTCGAGATTAATTTGAGCCCTATGCTTCCAAACGAATTTCAATGGTCTATCTTTCATGCTTTCCAGTTGCATCTCAATTGAGTTTGATAAACTCAGAAAAATAACCAGAGTTCGGTTGGGGATCCGTTCCGTAGCATTTGGGGTTTCACTTTTCTATTTTTTGTTTTCAAATATCTTTTGAAATAGAAATAGAAAATCTTGTTTATTTTGAATTTTTTTTTCAACTTTCAAGAACAAGTAAAACCGATTACCACTGTGACAATTTTGAAAAACCATTTTTTTTTCCCCTTCTATATTTTAAAAAACAAAAAGGAATTTTTTTTTCATAATTACAAATAATGCTAAATGGGTCATTGGTTTTTTCTCATAATTTGGTGTTTAGTAACCTTTTAACTGCTAGGGTATAATATTTGAGGCCTAAAATGGTGGGAAAATATGGATAGGTTTCTTGAAAAAGAAAGGAAGAAAAAAAAGACTAAGAGAAATTTTATCTTACTCATGAAGTAACTAGTGTATATACACAATAGTTATTCTATAAGTTCATATTTTATGAGAGATAGACAATATATATATATATATAACTCATAAAAAATGATAAAAATATTTTCACCTAAATTTAATTTTATTAAATTTTCTTTCTCTTTTTCTTTCCTCTTTATGTCTATTTATCTCTTGTGAATAACTCACACTAATTAGTCTACCACTAAGATAAAATTACTCATATGGTAGAAAGACAACTCCTGGAGTATTTTAAATTTTTTTTCGAGTGGAATCCCTTGAGCACTAATCCTATGGTACTTTTACATCCTTTCAAGAAACTTCGAAATTAGTGAGCATTTCGCCCGAGAACTCAAAGCTGAGCCAATGTGAAATTGAGATGATAAGGTTTTTACAAGTTCATTCTGCAAAACATTATACTCACTTGGTCCTTGTTCTGCATAGACATATCGACTTATTTCCTTGCTTCACTTGTTCGAGTGTTTTGGTTTCACTTATATCCTGCATGGTAGTTCACATTTTCTCAGAAGGCTGTGTGCAAAACCCAAGAAGACCCTCGACCATACAGTTCATTGCCAATAGATTGACCATTTGACCTTTCCAAAAACTGTCACGTCAAATCTTATCTAATATGCAGCATTTGTATTGTTCTAAGAAGATGTGCTCCCTATTCTTGCTAGTTCATTTAGCTAAGTGTCAATTTTTATCATTTATTCATTGTCTGCAAGCGCAATCCTCCTAGTTAAATTTACAAGTTCCTTCAAAATTTGTTTGACTTTCCTTCAAAAATGGAGATGGTTCACACTAGAGTTTATAGAATAAAATAGGCTTCGGATAAATAGACTGCATTTTCAGATGCCATTTTCCTGCTAAATAAGCAACTAAAGATTTTGAATGTTCATTGAACAGAATTTATTATAAAGAGATTTCACAGGTTTCTTGTTGTTTAGTCTAGGAAGTACTTGTGCTGTGACATCTTTTGGCTCTTCTTTAGACCTTTATAAGGATGTGCTTGGGTTCAGTTTTAACTCAAAACAAATCCTATGTTATCAAATAAAAGACAAAAGATGTCTAGGCAGGTTCTGTGATGAAAATAAGTGGTGAACACTGTCCTGAACCCTGATGATAATGGAAAGAGATACTTGTGCACAAGTTTACTTAAAAAGATAAGTGTTCAATTTTGCTGGTTATTTTAGAACAGATAGCTCTATTACTTTACCACTTGTTACTGCTAAAAAAGAGATACTCTGACATCAAATTCTCATAATTGAAAAGTTTTGACAGAAATGTTTTTTGTCAGCAATTTCTAGAAAGATTGAACTATGCGAAGTAAAATCAGCTGAGGATGGATCTTTTCCTGTGGAGCAAGAACAGATTATACAATTTTTGTTATTTTTAAACCAGAATATATAAGAATAGAGTCAGAGAGTGCAGAGCTCTACGTGTGTTAGCAGTTGCATTTTCAATCCTAGGATATTGAATTAATGATACTTAAGACGTTTTCCTGGTGATTAGAGACATGACAAAGGGCAGCTTTTGGTGAAATGCTGCTATCTGCTTCATAATAAAGTGTTCCAAGTCTTCAGATCAAGATTTTCACTGCTATATTAGCATCTAGGAAAGTGGCTGATTTTAAAAAGATACATACGAACACACATGATGGACGTAAGCTGATTCAGCATTTGGTTCTTTGCTTACTGACTAAACAGATTTAAGGCCATATTTTGAACAATGCCAAAATGGGGAGTCTACTCTGTGTGAAAGATAATGTGCCGAACCAAGCAGCATATTCTTGTAAAGATTTCATGGTACTCTTGCGCTTGAAAAGTAGTTACAAAGGAGCTATCACTAGCCATTTCATTAACAAATCGAAAGCCTTTATCAATGCATCCAAACTGGCACACAGCAGTTTACAATTAACAAAGAGAACACTAAACATACATTTCACGTAAAGCAAAGGAAAGATACTGCTGGGGAACTCTACATAAAGGCTCCCCATCATTTGCTGCTATTTACGCAGTTGGGTAGGAAGCTTGCATGGCAATTCCGCAGAGACCTTCTTTGGCATCGATATTTCTTTCCATTCTTATGTATCCACTCTCACCCCAGCTAGTTCCCCATGAATTCTTGACCAACCAATACTTGGTACCATCATCACTCGTACCATACCCAACAGCAGTCACACCATGGTCTAATTCAGTTCCACAATCTCCCGTAAACACGCCACTTGAGTAGAATTGGAAGGCAGATCCACTAGCATCAATGGCAACTGAGACTGGTTGGTTGGCCACTGCCTTCATTAGTGCCGCCTCATTGTTGGCAGGCACGTCTTCATAACCAGTGATCTTTGCAGAAGCCTTCCTGGTGGTGCAAGTTCCATCAGCTCCTTGGTAGGGGTAATTAGCTTCACTTGTAATGCCTTTGTTTTGAATGATGAATTGAAAGGCATCATCCATAAGACCACCGTTACAACCTTGGTCCTCGCCACTTGTGTCACAATCAACCAATTCTTGCTCTGAAAGAGAGATCAAGTTTCCAGTTGAGAGCTGTGTAATACCTTCCGTTGCAGCCACTGCAGAAAATGCCCAGCAACATCCTATATTTCCATAGAGTTGACAGAACAGTGGATGTTTCAGTTAGTCTACAAGAATTTTGAAAATGAAATGTCGAACATTTCAAGAAATGATTAGTAGATGACTGGTTATGATCTGCCTTACCGCATTGACCCTGGTCCTTAATTGGGGTAACAGCTCCTTTCTTTCTCCAGTCCATGGTAGATGGAACCGCAGTTACATTTTCATACCTGAAAGATTTGGTAATGGATGAACTCAAACGAGAAGACATCCTGTATCCGTTGCGTGTGGCATGGAATTCTTCATTAGTAAGGTCTGCAAATTCGTTGACGCTGAGCTTGTAAGGCCTATTCCCAGCCTTGTTGAAAGACTCAATGAAATCCACATTGCTCTTGAAAATGTTGAAGCGCCTCTCCTTCTC